CCTTCACTGGGCATCTGTCTACGTCTTCAGCCTCGTGACCATAGAAGTGGCACTCGAGCATCTAGTAACTCGTGGGTGCCAACTTCCCTTTGCTCAATACTCTCTCTCAATAGCTGATGGATCTTCAAACTCTTGTCGAGGTTACTGCCACCACCACCCACTCGAGTCGTTCAACGAGATGACCTCCTTCAGAGCCGCTGAGTCAACATTGTCAATCATCTTCCACCGTTTATAGATATCAATATTATGCCGGCCATACACATACTGGACCCTGGTCCACGGCGCACCAGTGACCTTCTCTCGCCCAGTGGTCACTATTTTCAGCCTCGGTACGATCTCCTCGCCAGAGTCAGCAGCCACCTGCTCCTGCTTCGGTGAGGAGTCCATCAGATCCGCCAACAGATCGTCCTCTAGGGAATCTATTGGGGCCTTGTCCTCGCCAACTTTAGACATGTCAGCTTCATTGGCGTCGTCATCATCAGAATCAACATCACTGAAGTCCCTGTCCTCCCTCGACAATGCCTTATACTGTTTACGCCAAGCCGTCGCCAACCGCTCGCTATGCAACTGCTTCCTCTTGGCTGGCAACTCATTGCTCGCTGCTGCTGCTAGAGCGACATCCGCATCTTCACCACCTCGCAAGAGGACGGACAGTTGCCGGACCAGCTCCCAGCGACCAAGCCCAGCCAACTGAGCTTCCGGCGTACCCAACTTGCGCATATCCTGCCTCAGCTCTTTGGCACTCTTTGCTCGAAGGTCCCCCAGCTTTTGACTCAGCCTCTGACCGCTAGCAACGCCTCCTGCCCCCAAAGCTGCATCCACTGATCTCTGCTGCCGTACATAGCTAACCCCTTCTCCTCGACCCCCGCTTGGGTCACCCAAGTGCGAGAACTCAAAAAAGGCCCCACGCTTGCCGCCCTCAACGACCTCCCAGTAGTCGTTACTGAGACTCCACGGCGTCGTCTTCAGCTCAGCTTCGACTTGCATGGCATCATACCGGACCCGTTCATCCTTAGACCTACTGCTCATACTCGACTCGTGGGTCTCTATCTCTCGCACAGCCTGCCGTATCCGATCCCCCGTCACCAGCTTGGTGACTCCTCTCTCACAGAGACGCCGAATGCCCTCGAGCATGGAGTCCATCTTGCATGACTCTACCAAACTCATCTCAGCCGAAGGATCCAACTGAGGCATCGGCTGGCCGGGACGGACCTGGAGCTCATGATTCGCCGCCGCTATGAAGCGCTCCAGAGTAGTCCTCTTGTTGGCATGCCCAAACATTCGAACCACATCGTCAGGTCTTAGGGGCCGACGATAATGCCGGAAGGACTTGCGGGTCTCCAGCACAATCCTCGACCGCATAAGAGGATTGATCTTAGCTGGTAGTGGGGGGTCCACCTTCACCAACGGCTCAGCTTGGCCCATGCAAACGAGCCGCTGTAGTGGTCGTATAATATTAATGTACTTCGTAGTATTGTCTGTCTGCTGCTGCTGCTTTCTCGACCTTTTAACATTGTGACCTCTGCCCTTGCTAGCAGCCACAGTCTCCTGACAGCGTATGAACAGGAAGTCCGTAGGGTCGGTTTGGTGCTCAAATAGAGGCGCTCGTAGGAGGACCGACTCGATAAGAGTACATGAGTTAATTCCAGACATGGGGTCAAATCTGACAACATTGCCGCCATAAACCCCAGGG